CTAGAAGGCATCCTGATCCATAGCCTTGGTGCAGGTGCATGAGACAACTGTAACAATACAAGAGCACGTGCTTGCCCTGTACCGTGCGTTTACTAAGGGCTTTGTGAATAGTCTTTCACTTCCTTGTTTCAGATTGGGTGAAGCAGGTGCCGACAACTCCACTTCCTAGAGGCAGAAACATAGCTCAGATGAGTTCAGTTGTCCATCTGAAATCAAAGTTGGTCTGGTGGCATCCTGATTTCAACCCCAGTACCCAACTTAAATAAAAATAAATGAAAGCTGGGCATAGCGGGCACACTTATAAGGCTCTCCTAGCCCAACCAGTGAGTGCTAGTTCCAGTTAAGTGTTCCTGTCTCAAAAACTAAAGTAGACAGCTCCCGAGGAACAGCACTCAAGATTGTTCTCTGGCTTCTACATACATCTGAACACAGAAGCACACACATCTATAAATACCATTAAAAATATCACACAGTGGGTGACATGGGTTTTAGCCCACATTGTTTCATTATTTCAAACTCTCGAGTTGCTGTCTTGGCTCTGGCAACATCACAGGTCCTGCTCATTAGTCACAAATCCACAGCTGTGGGTCTGTCTGAGCCTGGCCTCTACCTCACACCCCTCCAGCGAGCTACGCTCCCCGTAACCATTACTGCCAATCCATTTTAAGCCCACAAGACGAACACAGTGGGCACCTGTGGTTAGTGATGGCAGAAGAGGAAGTGGCCAGCAAATGCCACTTTCTTAGTAGGGAGACTGAAAGTCTTTTAGTGGGAAAAGGACACTGCTAATCCCCTTTGCTATATGTTTCCATTCTCATATTCCCATGACCAAGCAGAAAAGCTCCCCCAGCAGCCACACTGTCAACATACATCGTGAACACACACATGCACACATAAAGCTGAACATGCACCTCTCGCTTGGTTCCTGAGGGGCTCAAGATGAAGGGGGATCTTAGCAATAAACCTCCATCCAACCAGGGCCTTCACTTCCCTCAGCCACCTACAGAACACCCCTTCTAGCACACAAATTTAAACTCAAAATTTGGGGACAGACACATAAATTAAACTACTGGCATTACGGTATCCAACGTCAAGGTCTGAAAAGGAGGAAACTGTCAACTCTACTCAGCTCTGGATTACTGGACTTTGCACAAGTATTTACCATAGTTTTGAGAGTTATAGCAGAATCAAAAGTAAGTGTTTTAGCCAATGTTTTGTTGCTGTAATAAAACATTTGAGATCAAATCACAGACGAAGAACAGAAGGGGGTGGGGGCTGGCCGAAGGGCTTAACCGGTAAAAGCATTTGCTATGCAGACTTGGCAACCTGAGTTCAATCCTCAAAACTCATGTAAAAAGTCAGATGCAGTGGCGTGTAATCCCAGCCTCCAGCAAGATTGTAAGTGGAGACAGGAGAATGCCCTGATGCTCATAGACCAGCTAGCCTGTAACACTCGGCTTAGCAGAAACAAGAGAGATGCTGTCTCCAAACAAGGTAGGAGAGGACTGACTTCTGGAACTCATCCTCTGACCTCCACATGCTCACTGTTAACACATACACACCTGCACTCACGTACACACACCACACACGTTCAGGTGTGTGCATGCACGCACATACACACACATTCATGCATTCGCACACAAATGCTAACAATATAATGTTAACAATAATTTTTAAATGCATAATGAAAATGGAAGGGAGTTTATTTTAGAGGGTGTGAATGTGTTCATGTGTGGGCAGGCACAAACGTGTATTTTTGTGAAGCCACAGGTCAATGCTGGGTATTGTCCCTCGGGCACCATCCACCTTGGTTTTAGAGACAGGGTCTCTCACTGGTCAGGAACTCACTGGTTAGGCTAAGCTGGATGACCTTTGAACCTGAGATCTCCCTGTCTCTGTCTCCCAGAGATGTGACTCCAAATGTCCAAGCAGCATGGCTGGCTTTTTCCACATTGGTTCCAGGAATCAAATTCCACTCCTCCTCTTTATGTAGCAAGAACTTTACAGATGAGCTGCCTCCCCAGCCTCCTATTGTGGTACTTTTCCAGAGGAGAGGTGAAACACTGTCTGCTCACCCCAAATAGGACACAAACAACAGGCCACAGCAGCAATCCGACCCAAGTTCGAATCCGCCAGCCTGTGAGCTTATTGGGGTGGCTTACAGGCGTGTGGGTGAAGGGTTAACTTAGAGGCACGTGGCTGACTCAAATGCAGTTACAGCACCAAAACACTCACCCTGTGTGGCCAATGACTCACAAAAGCTGCAACCCTAGAGCATTTCTGTAGAACTTTCAGAAAGCAGGACAGCTTGGTGACTCTCCTCAAAACTAAGGAAGATGGCATTCCTAAGGGTGACAGTCAGGGTTATCCTCTGCTCTCTGAATGCATATGCACAAATGTATACCTGCACCTACACACAAACACACACACACACACACACACACACACACACACACACTACTTTATAGCTACCAAGAGCATACACACACCTTTACAATTCTGATCTTTTTCTCATCACATGTCACATTACTTCATGTTTTGACCAGAATTCACAGTCATCATTAAAGACTGCCTAGTGTTTTCTCATGATGATATATGAGACTTTAAATAATACAGACACATCTTATGAAGTGTCCAGCACGATGACTCATTTACTTACTATTTGTTTAATCATCCATGAGCTAGACATTTATCCTGTTATGGGGTCAGGAATAGATCCTAGTGGTGGGCAGACTGCCTAACCCATGTCTGGTTCAGTCCCTCGTACCACAAACCAGCACCACCAAACCCATAAAACCTCATCAATGTGGTCCCCACAGGCCAATCTGGTGGGGACATGTTCTCAACTGGGGATCCCTCTTCCCAGATGACTCTGGCAGGTGTTGACATAAGATGAGCCCGCTCACTGGACTGGCCTAGCAAGCCCTCCAAACCCTACGATGGGGAAACCTTAACTTCACATTCTCTACTGGCTGTACATGGGCGTATGCAGCGGGTACTTAGAGGAACAAAGCTTAACCAGCCACTTTGTCTCAATGCACTAGAGCATTGCCAGCCCTCCATTTATCCCGCCAGCAGCCTGCTCAAGTATTAACAGATATCAATCTAATATAGTGTGCAGCAAGCACCATTATTTTCTTCTCGATCTATTTTACCTGCCACCTCTCCCAGGGGCAGCTTGGGAAAAAAATGTGGTAATTATATATTGATATAGTGTAGGCACGGGTTATACGCAGGGCCCAATGCACTTTGCTTCCTTATTAACCAGCTAAAATGTACTCGGTGGGGTCCTTTCTGGCTCCTTAAGAAATCTCTACGGCTGAGCTGTTATTTTGCAGTTTCTGATTTTTCTCCCTGTTTGTAAAATTGTCCTCTTTTCCCGGGACCTTACAGGTACTGTACCAAGGGAGGGCTTTGGGCCACCACCCCAGTGGCATCCTCAGTCGGCAAGGTTTCCATCTGAAGCCAGCTGCTACCTTTAGCCAATAGGCAGCTTCTGAGCAAAGACGTAGACCAGCTCCCCTGGGCTGGCTGCCTGGTCCCTGTACTGCCTAATTAAGGACAAGTTAGTCAACATGAAGAGTTCTTATTAGGAAAGGGTCATTGTGCCATCACTGTAGGCCTTCAGACGAAATAAATTACCTTATTGTAAAGGAGCATAGAGATCTTTGAGTGTAAAGGCAGAGCTGTAAAGATTAAAAAAAACACCCCATGAAGGAAGGCACAGGAATCCAGGAATAGACAGACACCTCTGGGGACATTCTCAGTCTTCCCTTGGTCAATGTTGTGGCTTAAATGTGAATTGTCCCCACCCCCAGCCTCATGTGCTTGAACAGCTGCGGAAAGGTTTGGAACCTTGAGGAAGTGGAGCCTCACGGGAGGAAGTAGGTCACTGGAGACGGGCCTTAAGGTTTTATAGCCCTGCCTCACTTCCTGTTCATTCTCTGCTTCCTGACTGGATGCAAGGTGAGGAGCTGCCTCCTGCTCCAGCTTCCACTGCCCTGACACCATGAAGGACGGTGTCCGCTCAGCTACGAGCTGGAGTGACATCTTCCTCCCTTAGCTCGCTTCTCCTTAGGTATTTGGCCACAATGATGAGAAAAGTAGCCAGTACAGCTGCTGTCTGGAAGGACTGAGAAGCAGGAGAAGAGCTCGTTCCTAAGGAAAGAGAGACATTTGTGGTCAGGGTCAAAGTGCAGAAGCCGTGGTGATATCTTGTTCCTCGGGACTAGGTTGCCCAAGCAGATCATAAAGCTAAGAGGAATGAGAGACAGCCAGGGAACCGACACACAGAGGAACCATGTTGTTGCCTCTGAGGGTGTCTGGTCACTCACCATGCCTATGGGCAAGAAAAATGCAAATTCCAGCTGGGCTTCTACCCTTCCCAACGTCTCTGACCTCAGCTCTCCCTCACCCAGCCACACTATCCAAGGCTGCTGGAGAACAGGCTGCTTGACCAGGGAGTCGTCTAGCCTGTGCTCTGCCAGCTCCCCTCTCAGGGCCCTGGGAGAAGCAGCAGAATTAGGAAGGGGTGCACCCAGGAGACTACTGTGCCTCCCCGAGCTGTGTGCCTGCAGGCTACACAAGAGAAAAGCACCAAAGTTAGCTGTTTTCTTCTAGCCTGTTCTTGTCTGCATAGAAACATGGTTCTGTGCCAAAAGTCCCCACAAGGTGACAAATCGGAATGAATTTGGAGTAAAACCAAGCTGACTCCAGTCAAACAGACCTGGAAGAGGGCAGAAAGAAAAATTCCCCTTGAAGGAGGGCCTCTGCCAATTAAAAAACTCAAGTCCAAAATTCATTATCTAACTTATTAAATGTAACCTTTTCTACCACTACCCTTTACCCTCCCCTGCACACAAATAATAATAATCCTCAGCCAGGGTAACTGTAGCAATAAAGTAATTAGGGGAGCATACTGTCTCCAAATGAAAGCACCAATACTGTAACTTACAGTTAAATTTAATTACTAGCTAATTTCCTTTACAATAGATGGCCTATTTTTTGAACAATATTCTCAGAAAAGAGATTATGTGCAAGCATATAACTCTGCCCTATCTTACGAAAGCAGAGAGAACCATTTTCTGAGCTCCCTAATCCACCTGATATGAACAAGTGCAAGAGAAGGGATAAAATACAGCCCCACCAGGGAGGCGGGTGCTAAGCACTCCATGTCCAGGCCTCTAACAATGGCAAGAGCCCGTTAGTTGGGTCTGCTGGCCCACATCCAGAGGACAGCCTTGTGCATCTGTGATGATTACTATTAACCAACAACAGGACTGAGAACAGCAAGGAGACACATCTCTGGGCATGTGTATGAGGGAGTTTCTATATCGTATTAACTGAGATCAGAAGACCCTCACTAAAGGTGGGCAGTCCTGTTTTTATGGACTGGAAACCTTCACTGAATGAAGAGGAAGAAGAAAGCTGAACCTCTGCCATGGCTTCCCTGCTATGATGGACTGTACCCTCAAATGGTAGCCACAATGAAACATGTCTTCCTTAAGTTTCTGTGTCAGGTACGTTATCATAGAAACAAGAAAAGTAATTAATACAAGGATTGAGTATGAACCGGCCTATGTGTATAGATACCACCTCCTCACATTCAGGCCTCACATAAGTCCCCAAATTCCTCAGTGCCAGGACAAGAATGGGACACTGGCCCCAAAAAGCCTGAACTTTTGGGGCAGAGAGTACAGAGGACTCTAAGGCCACACAAAATTTCCCAACTAGCAAGCAAGAATCCCCGGAGGTGTTTCCATAAATGCTTCTGGCTTGCCCAATTTCTTGCCGAAGTGGTCACAGGCTGCACACCATGAACAGGGAGTCATAGATGATGATGATGAATGGTAAGACATGCCTTGGATAAGTGGCAAAGGATTCGGGATCATTCCAGTCTGGAACAACAGGACACCCCAAGGCCACTGTACGCTCCCTCTTCATTCACGAGTTCTCATAATCAACTATGGAGAAAACAAGCATGCCATACTGTATCAGTCACTTTGTCTTTGACATGTCAACATACCTGACAAAGACAACTTAAGAAAAGAAGGTTTGTTTTTCTTCACAGTTTGAGGGTGCAGTCCATCGTGATTGGGACCATTGATGACAAGAACATGAGGTCACATTGCAGTCCTTAGTCAAGAAGCAGAGACTGTATGTTTTCCAGGTTCTCTAAAAAGCTGGAAAATTCAGGGGAACTGGATGCTTTCTAAATGCATATGAGCTACTACAATTAAATCTAGAAGATATAAATAACAAATCATTACAAACAATGAGATAAAAGCTGTAATCAAAAGTCTACTCACAAATAGAAGCCTGAGACCAGCAGGACTCACTGATAAATTCTCTCAAACATTCAAGGAAAATCTAATGTTGATCCTTCTTAATTTCTCCCACAAAATCGGAAGGGATGAAACACTACCAAATTCATTCCACAGAGTCAGTATTAGCCTGGTAACAAAATGAGGTAAAGACAACAAAAAAGAAAACCACAAATCAATTTCTCTGATGAACATAAATGCAAAAATTATCAACAAAATACACTCAAACTAAATTGAAAACACATTAACAAGATTATGCATCATGACCAAGCAAGCTTCATCTCAGAGATGCAAGTTTGGCTCTACATATGTAAATAAACAAATGTAATATACCATATAAATAAATTTAAAGACAAATAACAAAATCATCTTGATTTGTGCTGAAAATGCATTTGACAAAATTCAAAATGCTTTCAGGATAAAAAATCCTAGAGGCATTAGGGATGGATGGAGCGTATCTCAAAATAATAAGGCGATATATAATAAAGCTACACCAACATTATAGTAGACAGAAACAAACTAAAAGCATTTCCCATCTTGTTCTGGATTTTAGAGGAAATGCTTTTTAAGATAGTTCTTAAAGTATAAAAGCAATTAGATAAGGAAAAGACAAAAAAGGTATGAAAATAGGAAATTAAGAAGTCAATTTATTTTTATTTGCAGATGACATGATTCTATACTTAAAATAGCCTATAGAATTTGTATGAAAACTCTTAGATCCAATATACACAGTAGAGTTATAGGATACAAAATCAATATTAAAACAAAAACAGAACACTAGCCTTCATATATACCAACAATGACTTCTCTGAGAAAGAAAATATCTCATTCACAGTAGCTCCAAAATAGTAATATACCTAGGAATAAACCTAACCAAATAAATGAAAGACCTGTACTGTGAAAACTTCAAGATACTGAGGAGGAAAATCAAAGAAGACATTACAGGATGGGAAGACCCTCAGTGCTGGAAATAGCAGAATTAACATCATGAAAATGGCCAGAGTGCCAAAATTAATTGACAGATTCCGTGCAAAGCCCATCAAAATTCTTAGATCATACGCAGGTCTAGAAAAGGACGATCCTAGAACTTCCGTGGCATCACGGAAGACCACAGCAGTGCAAGCAATCCTAAATTCTAAGAACACGGCCACAGACGTCACAATACCTCACCTCAAATTACACTCCGGAGCTATCGTGGCAAAGGCAGCTTGGTACTGGCAGAAAAACAGACAGACCCATGGAGCAGAACAGAGGGCCCAGAAATAAACTACAAACCTATATGCACACAATTTTTGACAAAGGTTGTAAAATGTGCAGTGGGGGGAAAGACAACCTATTTGACAAGTGGTGCTGACAAAACTGTGTATCCATCTGCATGAGAATGAAATTAGATCCGTACCGTTCACCTTGTATAAAAATCAACTTGAAGTGGATCGAAGACCCCAATTTAAAACCGGAAATGGTGAACCTGTTAACGAAAAACATAGGGAATATTCTTTAAGATATTGAGTGAGGTAAGCACTTTCTGAACAGAACTTCAGCAGCAGAGCAACTAGCCCTAAGAATCAATAGATCTCACTGTATAAAATTTAAAAGTTTCTGTATGGCAAAAGAAAACTATCAGCAAATGGATGTCCTACAGAATGGAAAAAAAAATTTTCACATTCAGACAGGAGCTAACAGGATTTACAAAGAACTAAAAAATGTAAACACCGAGGAAGCAAACTGCCAATCAACAAATGGGCTAACAGAATGAACAGGTAGTTCTCAAAAGAAGAAACACAAACGGCCACTCACTGTTTTCAAAAGCGTGTGGCATTCCAAGTCATTGGGGAAATGCAATTAAATTGTGGAAAGTGTGGCATTCCAAGTCATTGGGGAAATGCAAATTAAAACACTCTAAGAATCCTGCCTCATTCCAGTCAGAAATCTGACAATGAATGTTGGAGATGAGAGGAAAGATGAGCCCTCTTTTTTTTTTGGCTCGTTGGGGGACCACCACCCAGCTCCCAAATAAGTACATGGGGGCTTATTCTTACTTATGAATGCCTGGCCTTAGCTTGGTTTGTTTCTAGCCAGCTTTTCTTCACTAATTACCCCACCTACCTTTTGCGTCTGGGATTTTATCTTTCTATCTACCGTTCTTTACTTCGTACTCATGGCTGCTGTGTAGATGGGTGGCTGCCCCCTGGTGTCCTCTCTCCTCCTCTTCTCCTCCTTCCTTCTCTCTTTTCTATTTATTCTCTTTGCCTGCCAGCCCTGCCAAGTTTCTCTTTCCTGCCTAGCTGTCAGCCATTCAGCTCTTTATTAGAACAATCAGGTGTTCCAGGCAGACAAAGTAACACAGCTTCACAGAGTTAAGCAAATGCAACATAAAAGAATGCAACACATCTTTACATCATTAAACAAATATTCCACAGTATAAACTAATGTAACACATCCGCAACTAATATTCCACAACAGCCAGCTATACCATTCCTGGGTATATACCAAAAAACCCGATATCCTGCCGTAGAGAGACTCGCACACCCATGTTCATTGCTGCTCTATTTATGATAGCGAGATTGTGTAACCAACTTAGATGCCCACCAACAGATGAATGGGTAATGAAATGTGGCATACATAAAAAAGAGAATATTATTCAGCTATAAATAAAATAATGAAATTTGCAAGAAAATGGATAGTTCTGGGAAGCATATTGAAATGACCCAAACTCAGAAAGAAAAAGAAAAAATAATAATAAACATGTTCTGATTCTAGCTTATAATGTACATGATGTGTATAACCGTAAATAGGTATACGTGTGTGTAGAGTATAAAATTTAGCAAGAAGACTGTTGTACAGGTCTATTCTCTGAGCCAAACTGCCACCATTGTCATAAATTCAGCTGTGTCTGTCTGCAAAAGATCCCCACAGCTGGGCTCGTTGACTGTTGACCTTCCCTCATACAAGAAGGGATGCAAAGTGTTGAGGGATCCTCAGTGGGATATTCAGCTATTCCTCCACAAGGGGTATGCAATTCTGTCCTAAGTGCACATGGCCCCAGAAAGGGCTTGAAGTATACAGGCTGGGAAGGGCTAGGGAGGGGGCTCTATCTGTGTGGCCATGGAGGAGCCATCATCCATGCTAACTGCTTGAAGGCTATCCAAACTCCTGCCCATCACTCCCACCCCCTCCGTAAGTAAGCCTAATAAACTCACTGGTTTCCCAGAGATCCCTGGTGGAATCATACCCTGGTTTGTCATTGAGACATTTGTCAGATGCTTAGACATTAGCAACAGAGACAATGAGAAGGTGCCACTGGGTGATGAGGAAGGACAGATGAAGGAAAAAGCCCACACAAGTCACAAAAGAGGATCTAAAGCTATGTTTTTCCAGTTTCAACTCCATCATAGGTTTTCTTTTTCACGGTAGGTATGTGAATTCAACTTTCTGCATGTGGAATCAGTAACAACTATTTTTGCATTTCATAAGACACCAACTTGTGTTACTCCTTTGAGCGTTTGTGAAAATGAACTTTTTTTCATTTCGTTGACCATTAGCACAACAGGGATTAAGCATGACTATTGTGTTCAAAAAGCTGGAGGAAAGCATTCAGAATGTTTTCACTGTAGGGAAATGCTGGGAGTTTGAGGAGAACAACAGATTGGACCAGGCGTGATATGTTCATATGTTGAAGCACCAACTAGGTGCATGTCCCATTAGGGTGCACTCTTTATGTCATCATTAATCCACTTAATTTTAATAAAATAAAAAGGGAGCAGAGGGATGAGTGCTGGCACTCAGCTTTCCTTTCTCCTTTGTATCAAGTCTAGAAACCCAGCCAACATTTAGGATGGATCTTCCGATCTCAATTAATCCAGTCTAGAAAATAACCCCCAGGTATGCCCAGAGGCTTGTCTCATAGGGAACACTACAGTCTCTCAAGGTGATAACCAACATTAACCTTCGAACATACCCAAGTAACCCATAGCAGAGGATGGAAATGAGCAAACATACAATTAAAAATGATGGCAGTTCCTGATCTAGCAAAGGGTCTCAGTGAGATGTCAGGGGACAAGGCAATAGGGAGAAGAGTGAGACAAGGAAAGTCGGGATGGCTCCCCAGGGTCCAGGATTTTGAAGCTTAGATCTCCAACAGAAGGAAATCTTCTAGGAGTGTCTAGGTGCTGAAGGCACAAGAGAGACTAGTCACCTCAAGGAAAGGTATCGTTTTTTTTCTTTTTTAATTTTTTATTCATTTACATACCAACCGCAGTTCCCCCTCCCTTCCTTCCTTCCTACTTCCACTACTTCCCCATCCCCTACTCCAAAAGGGTAAGGCCTCCCATGAGGAGCCAGCAAAGCCTGGTACATTCAGTTGAGGCAGGACCAATCCCCTTCCTGCTGCATCAAGACTGAGCAAGGCATCCCATCATAGGGAATGGGCTCCAAAAGCCAGTCCATGCACCAGGGATAGATCCTGATTCCACCGCCACGGGTCTCTCAAATAGACCAAGCTACACAACTGTCTCCCATATGCAGAGGGTCTAGTTCGGTCCCATGTAGGTGCCACAGCTGTCAATCTAGAGTTTGTGAGTTTCCACAAGCTTGGTTCAGATATCTCTGTAGATTTCCCCATCATGGTCTTTACCTCCGACTTGCTCATTTAATCCCTCCTCCCTCTCTTCGCCTGGACTCCTACAGACAGAGCTAGAAAAATCGTGGAAGCTGTGGGTTCCCTGGGAGATGTGTGCTCACCTGACTTGTCAGCCTTGGAGGAACGTGGACAGGTCTGAGGCAGGCCAGTGACAAGTCCAGATTTGTGTTTCATGATGACAGCACAAAAGCGACAAAAGGAGAAAGGTGTCCCTCAAGCACACCGTGGAAACAAAAAGGAGGACCGATGAAAAACAGTTTGGGGGCTGGGGAGACGGATTGGTCAGGAAAGTGCTTGGCACACAAACATGAAGTCCTGGGTTTAACCCCCAGCGTCCACAGAAAAGCTGAATGCAGTGGCACATGCTTGTAATCTTACTTCTGTTGGGTCATCAGCCTGTCTCGCAAACCTGGTTCAGTGAGAGACTCTGTTTCAAAAAAAAAAAAGTGGAAAGTGATTATGTGGAAGACACGTGACAGTGATCTCTGGCTTGCATTCATGCACCAACTTCTACATTCAAACAGGCACATGCAACTTCATGCACACACACACACGTGTGTGTGTGTGTGTGTGTGTGTGTGTTAATTAATTGATTGAATTTAAAATTAAAAAAAAAACTTTTTTAGTGAACTGTTAGTAATGGCAAAAAAGCAAATGATGGGTACACAGGCATTTAAAGTATTATATTGCTAACTTTAAGGCGAGTTTTAAAGTTTTCTATGGTGTAAATAGTTTTTAAATAATGTAAGTCCAAAACAATTAGATCTGGGGAGTTTATATTAAAGTCATGTAATTTTTTACAAATATCATATATTCTGATTTGGTACCTGAAAATAAATGGGAAAGTGTTTGAAGAGATGGATCGACAGTTAAGAGCACATCCTGTTCTTGCAAAGTACCCACAGAGGGTGATGTACAGTCCTCTAACTCCAACTCCAAGGGATCCAGTGCCCTCTGCTGACCTCCATAGGCACCCACACGTACACACACACACACACACACACACACACACACACACCGTTGTTGTGCTATAGGTAGAGCATATAACGAAAAGAATGGGACCACAGTCATGCAGAAACCAGGGCAGGACCCAGGTGAGGAATCGATAATGGCTATAGAAACACAGTAGTGAACGCTGAAGGCCTTACAGCATTTGGGAAGCAAAATGGCCAGAACACAGTGACTGACTGGACAAGCATGAATCTCTCTAAATATTTACAATGACTACCTCAGCAGACACCAGGAGAGGGTAAAAAGATGAAGCCTGGCTTAGACAGGAACACAGACATGTTTGGAAGATAAGCTAAAATGTTTTTTTAGGGGGGAATAAAAAGTTAAAAGCCACAAGTAAACATTAGCTTAAAATATTTTAAAATGGAAACCAGTAAAATTGAAAAAATACTAGAAAATCAATTTGACAAGTAGACATTGCACTTAGAATGTTAGTGCTTAAAACGATTGCCAAGATGGATAAACAGTAAGATCAGAATATAAAGCTCAGATAATACAGTAAAAGCTACTGTTCAGAAGGCTGAGGCAAGTGATAGGTATTGGGATATATTAATAGGATTAAATAGTGGAATAAAATCATTTAAGATGCATGAACTTTGCAAAAGCTTTGCTCTAACTGAGGGTTAATGCAAAAAAAAAAAAAAAATACAGGTTGCGACAGAGAAGCCAGCTCCAAGTGACCTGCTTGCCCCCTGGTCAGCATCACCTCCCATGCCCACTGTGAAGCACTCTGGGCCCAGCTGGTAATTGCCAGTCTCCAGATCTGCCAGGTTTTTCTTAAAGGACACTGCCAAGAGAAAGAGGGGATTACATCTCACAATACACAGAAAAGCCTTATAAAAATCCTCTTTAGGCATCCACCCGTCTCCTCAAAGCCTCCTATGCCCAGAAGCTGCCAAAATCTCCATTATTCTTGTCCAGCCTCCCTACTGTGTTGTCCATCACACACACACACACACACACACACACACACACACACACACACACACACCAGCCTCACTTCTAACAGGAGATGCCGTGAGTCACATGTGTCCCCCGGTAAAAGATAAGGCCTCTGATGCTCATCCCTGCAGAATGCTGGCCCCAGGCCTGAGTGAGTAAAGCCTCCCACTTTATTATATACTCCCATATGCCAGGTTCCCCTCGAGACTGAGTTCTTAGAGGAACAAGTACCAAAGGCTTCTAAAGAGGCTGGGGACCTAGGACCTAGCACATAGCACCAAATTCATTTAGCGTATATGAAATATTAAGAAGTGAAAGAGAGGAAATCGTAATCGGACCGTTCAGGGTGAGATGACGGCTTGAAGGACCGAGATGGGCTTGATTCGCCGACAGGATCCTGGCAGAAGACATTGACTCCACTGCTGTTTCCCACTCGTGTGTCTGACTGGGGCCTCTTCGGCACACTTATCTTTAACGTACGACTTCAGCCTTTTCAACAGGCACGTAAGACAACAGCAGCATCACACCAGGGCCATAGCAACAATGCAAGGCAGTGAACAGCAGCACTCAGACTGACCTCAGAGAGATGTCTCCCAAGCAAGTGATTGAGGAGGGCTTCATGGAGGAATTGTCCAGATCAAACTGGCCTGTGGGCATGTCTGCAGGGGATTGTCTTGATTACTATTTGATGTGGGAGGGTCCAATCCACTGTGGAAAGCATCGCTCCTTGGATAGGTAGTCCTATCTATATAAGAAAACTAGCTAATCCTGAGCCTGAGCAAGCCACCAAACAGCGTCCCCATGGTTTCTGCTTCAAGTCCCTGCTTGAGTTCCTGCCCTGACTTCCCTCAAGAACAGGCTGTGACATGGGAGTGTAAACCAAATAAATCCTTCCCTCCCCTAAGTTGCTTTTGGTCAAAGTGCTTTATCAGAGCAGCAAGATAAACCTAGAACATTCCTCTAGAGCAGTGGTTCTTAACCTTCCTAAATGCTGTGACCCTTTAATACAGTTCCTCATGTCGTGGTGACCCCAGCTGTAAAATTACTTTCATTGTTACTTTATAACTGTAATTTTGCTACTGCTACAAATAGTAATATAAATATCTGATATGCAGGATATCTGATATGTGACCCCCAGAGGGGTTGTGACCTACAAGTTGAGAACCACTGCTCTAGAGTAACAGAGTGGATAAAATATATACCTGTTATAAAGAGGGATTGATTAGAATGGGTTACAGCAGGAGCAATGGGTGTCTGTGTGCTGGAGGGGCTGAGAACCCTCAGTAGCCATTCATGAATCTGTACACTTCAGAAGTTCCAGTCTGATGCTGGAGGCCTGGACCATTCCTGGAGAGATGCTGACCTTCATCCATCTGGAAGACTAAAGAGGATAGAGACTAATGGTAGTGAGGGATGGCAGCAACAATTGCAGCAGCAACAGGGTAGATGCACTCACCATCGGGAAGTGAGGGTGGGCAGGCACACAACAATCTGCAACACACACACACACACACACACACACACACACACACACACACACAAGAAGGTGTCACCCATAGGTCTTCTCCCTCAGGTAATCATTCCCGGAAATATCCTCTCAGACCCACCCAGAAGTATGTCTCCTACTTGATCTGTGCCCCTGTCAGACTGGCATCACGACCAACCATCAGAGACTGTGTGGCAACAGAGAGCCGGACTCCTAGGAAGCGAGTGTGCTTGCAGCCTTCCATCCCAAAGGCTTCCTGCTCAACATTCCTGACAGAAAGACAGCCAGTGTCCTTTAGGCAGCGCCTTGTCCAGTGAGGGGCCTCTCAGGTCCACAGTCATTGCTGGAGAACTGTGGGGCCACTAGGCTTTCAGTCAGGGCGCATCTTCCTTGAGGATGCAGGAGCCCACGTGACTCAGCTTCCCGCAAGCCTATTGGCTGCCGGCGGATTTACATTTTGCACAGCCATAAGTGGAAGAAAACACCAGTCTGTTCTCCAACGCAGCATAGTAATTGCAGCTGCCTCTTCCTGGAGGCGTTTCCGGAACCTTCCGTAGACAGTGAGGGTCTGCAGCAGTCCGCCCCTCGCTGCGTTGTACCTAACCTCCTCCGTGAGCTGCTTTTCCGTTCTTACAGCTGCTTGGATTATGTAAGCCGTTACGCGAACTCATTGTAGCCAGAACAATCGCTGGCTTTTCCTTTCTTTTTCAGTGCCAAGAAGAGCAGGCGCCCTCTTTGTCTAACCTTCAGAGAAGCCTTGACGGGGGCGTCGCTTGGTCTGTTCAGGCTGCTATAATAGAGCACCTTGGATTGCACGGGTAGAGTGAACAGAAACTTCTCACCACCGAAAAGGCTGGGAAGTTCAAGGTCAGCGTGGCTGCGTTTCTGTGCTTGGGAAGGACGCACATCCCAGCCTGTTGATAGGTAGCCATGTAATGTCCAGACACGGGGAGAGGGAAGCAAGTGACTTCCCTGGAGTCTCTTGTGCATGTGTCCGTCTCTGTATGTTCCTATGTATACATGACACATGTGTGTTCAGGCGCATGTGCACATGTGTGTGTATGTATATGGAGGTCAAAGGACAACCTCAGGTGCCATACTTCAGGTAGTGTCTACCTTGTTTTTTGAGACAGAGTCCGTTACTAGCCTGTAACTCACCAAGTGGGATAAATGGCTGGCCAGCATCTCCAGGGATCCATCCACCTGCTCAGACATGGGATCACAAGCCCACCCCACCCCCATCCCTGGAGACTTTCCTAAGGCTACAAACCTCACCCATGAGGGTTCCATCTTCATGTCAGAAACACCTTCCTAAAGCCTCAATCCCAAATCCCACCAGATTGAGGACTGGATTCGTCATATGGTTTGGGTGAGCACAGTGCGTTCATCCTGTGCACAGCCTTGCAGAAAAAAACAGGGGATTTTTCCCACCCACTACAACTGAGCTGCCAGTACTGAAGATCCTGGACAGAAAAGAGAGTGTAGGCAGAGGCAGGCGGATCTCTGTGAGTTTGAGGCCAGCCTGGTCTACAGAGTGAGTTCCAGAACAGCCAGAGCCACACAGAGAAACCCTGTCTTGAAAAACCAAACAAAAAAGAAGAAAGAGAGAGAGAGAGAAAGAGGGAGAGTGTAGATGTCCAGGTAAGAGGGTAAACACCCATAACCCCACCACTTAAGAGGCTGAGGCAACAGAATCCTAAGTTCCAGGTCAAGCTAGGCTAAGAGTGAAACTGACCCAAAACACACAGAGGGGGGGGGAGAGGGAGAGGGAGAGGGAGGGGAAGGGGAAGGGGAAGGGGAAGGGGAAGGGGAAGAGGAAGAAGAAGAGAAAAAAGGAGGAAGGGGCAGATGGAGGGAGGGAGCAGTTCTATTACTTGTGACCCCCATTATCAGCAGTGTTTTGTGGTAGTATTGTGTTCCCCAAAATATTGTGCACCCTAATAAACTTATCTGGGGTCAGAGACAGAACAGTCACTAGCTAT